TTCTAAATTAATTCTGAATATTATTCTGAATAACATCCTCATTTGATTCTAAACATTAATTAATTTTTTGACTTTTTTGAGACAGGCTCTTACTATGCAGCCCAGCTGGCCTTGAATTCCTAAACTCACCCTCCCTCAGCCTCCCTAAGTAGCTAGGACTACAGGCCAACCATTAATTTAAAACTATGTAACTTTATACGGTTAAAAGTTTTTTCAAAAGTTAAGATAACCCCATGTTATGGTTTGGATGTGAGGTATCTTCCCAAAAGGTCACTGTGAAGCAACACAAGAAGGTTCAGAGGAAAAATGATTGGGCTGTAAGAGTCTTAACCCAATTGGTGAATTAATTCCCTGATAGGGATTACCTGAATGGCAACAGAAGTGGGTAGGGTATGGCTGGAGGAGGTGGGACTTGGGGCATGGCTAAGAGGTACATATTTTGTATCTGGAGCAGGCCAACTCACTCTCTCTCTGCTTCCAGATAACTACATGAGCTGCTTTCCTCCACCACACTCTTCCACCATAATGTTCTGCCTCACCTCAAGCCCCAGGGAATGAAGCCTGTTCTATGGACTGAGATCATTGAAACCATGAGCCCCTAAATAAAACTTTCCCCCTCTACAATCATTCTGGTCAGATCTTTTAATCACAGCAGCAAAAAAGCTGACTAAAACACCCTACTATCTTTTTCAAGTTAACTCCATAACTCAGCTTCACCAAGAACCCTAATCTAGAAAAGCATTACCTTTTCTGTGGAAGTATGTGCCTGACTCTTACAGTTGCCAAATTAAAGGAAATACTCATTCCTTACTCTCAATAAAAAATGAGATTGTAAATCCTAGTGTGTTAAGATAATATTTAAAATATTTTAACAATAAAATTAAAAACTGTAGTTTTCTAAAAGTCTCATTTTATTTAACTTATAAAATATAAAAACCAACAAAATACATAAACCTGACAAGGGGAGAAAGGAAATAAGCTGCCAAATATAGACATTAAAATGTCAAGCTTTTTTTTTTTTTTAAACACCCTTTTCAGGTTAGTTCAGATTTATAAGAGCAGTAAGGTTTTTAGTAAAACAATTCTGGAAAAATGAAATATTCACTGATTTTACCTTAAATTTTTGGATTTTTTGACCTTAGCACATTAAGCTAAGTATTTTGATTTAAAAAGTCTCCTTTGCCCTAGTAATCTTAATTAAAACAGCAACGAGGTTTTCAAATTTTCAAAAATAAAGAAACTAAAGATGCAAACAACTTACAGTAACAAGTGAATGTTGGCCAGAATGTCTCATTAACCATTTATTTTTTTCTTTTTGTACTGGGGATTTTTTTTTTTTTTTTTTTTAACCCATGGGTACTTTATCACTAGTCCCCAGCCCTTTTTATTTTGTAAAATCTTCTGTTGTTATTTTTTATGTGGTGATGGGGATTGAACCCAGGGCCACATGCATGCTAGGCAAGTGCTTTACCACTGAGCTATCTCCCTAGTCCCCTCTTTCTATTTTTTATTTTGAGACAAGGTCTCACTAAATTGCTAAGGCTGGCCTCAAACTTATGAGCCTCCTGCCTCAGACTCCTGAATCAACTGGGATTAGAGGGATATGCCACAGCACCCAGCAAACCATTTACTTTCAATAACCCTCAACATACTTTAAACTAATGGTTCCAAAAAGTAGAGGTGTTGGAGATGTAGCCTATTGCATGCTTGATGTCCTGAGTTCAATACCCAGCACAAAAACAAAGAAGTGCCGACAGACAAATGTGTGTTTGGGGAAAGCTTCCAAGGTTTTTCTAATAATTCCAGATCCAATTCAGAAACACTTTACTACATATTTAATGCTAACACTTTTAAGTATATATGGATTATCTCTGCATAACTATATGTCAATATTAGTACAAAATTTCAAGTTATTACTAATTTTTATTTCCTCTGGTTCCAAAGATGATACAATGTGAATACACAGCACTTTTTAAATCACATTAAAGTTGGAAGTCACAGAATTTTAAAGTTGAAAAAGAATCTCAGAGATAATCTAAACTGATTATTTTGATTCATCAAGAAACTGGACTCAAAAAACATGGTTAGGATCACAAACTAGAGAGTGAGACTGGAACTTCAACTGTAATACCCTGACTCAACTTCAGTGCTCTTTTGACCAGACCAAACTGCAGCATGTTTCTCCAGGCAACTTTAAATTGGCACTGCACATGAGAACAATCTAAGAAATTTCCATTTTGCCAGTATTTACTGTTAAAAAAAATTTAGAAGCCAAAAGTTATAAAGAGGGCCGGGGCTATAGCTTAGTGGTAGAATGCTTGCCTAGCACATAAGGCACTAGGTTTGATCCTAAGCACCACATAAAAATAAATAAATAGATAGATAGATAGATAGATAGATAAATGTATTGTGTCCACCTACAACTTAAAAAATGTTTTTAAAGTTTAAAAAAAGTTAAATATTTAATTTCATATAATTTGTAAATAATCATTCATATAAAATTCCACATTATTGCTTTCTCCTTAATATCAAGAAATTTAAATAAGATGATTCAAATTTTTAATGTTAAATTATTTTCAACTTCATCTACTATCATTTAGCACTGCAGTAGGATCTTAGTATAGTGTGAAAGCTTTAAATTGGGAATCAAGATAGTGGATTTCTGACTCAATTTTATAATTTACCTAGTTTACAGTCAAATTTCAACCTCTCTGACTCCATTTCTCATCTCATGGTTAAGGATCATCATTACTTAGTGCCAGGCTAGTATCTATGTTGCTTCTAATACTGACCTTAAGAGAAATTAAGTAAATTTTCCAAAAATCTCAGCTACTTAATTTGCTGAGCTGGAATTTAACCCAACTCTGCCTGACTCTAGCTACTAGAGTCATGGTCTTCACATTTCACCATGTTACTCAAATCTTGATATAATGTGTGATCATTGTGTGGTTGTGAGAACAAGTATAAGCTGAATATCAATTATCCAAAATGCTTGGGATGAGAAGTGCTTCAGATTTCAATTTTTTGGATTTTGGAATATTCGCATAGACTTCACCAGTTGAGCATCCCTACACTTCAAAATTCCAAAGTTTTTGAGTACATCACATGACATACCTAAAAAGTTTCAGATTTTGTAGCATTTTAAACTACATGTACAAAACTATTAGGGAGATATAGACATAAAAATGCATACTGAAAAAATATACTGCAACATGTTATTAAACTGAAAATGATTTTTAGTAAAGGATTCAAAAACTAGTTATGCTATACATACTATTCTTATTACTGTTATTAACAGTGAAGTAAGCACTGTAAAATTAAAAGTAGATCGCTCTTGCTTTTAGAGGTAATACTTTAAACTGGAAACAAGGAATCCCTACTTCCTAGTTAAAAATAAAATTATCCTGAAAGCCCCATTAAATCACATACAGCATTTATTTAAAAAAAGCTTATGGGGCCAAGAACAGTGGTGCACACCTGTAATCCCAGTGACTCCAGAGGCTGAGGCAAGAGGATGGCAAGTTTGAGACCAAACCCTGCAATTTAAAGAGGACTTAAGCAATTTAGCCATGTCTCAAAATTTTAAACAAATAAACAAAAAGTAAAAAGGGCCAGGGATGTAGCTCAGTAATAAAGTGTCCCTTGGTTCAACCCCCAAAAATTTTTTTAAAAAGTCTGCAAGGATATATACATATGTACAGAAATGAAAAAAAAAGTCAAGATTACTTGGGTATCAGGTCTTGCCTTTTCAAACAGATTAAACACGGTAAGATATGAAAGAAGAGAGAACAGAGCAAATGTTTAATGAATGTACAGTATTTACACCTATCAACCATACTTCACCACTGCAGATGGATACAGATACTGTTATTGCTGCTCTGACAGAAACCAAAATGCTTCCCCAATAAAGTTTTTCTGTCGTGTTTTATATAAGAAAAATGTTCATTAAAAACAAAACAGTAAAATGTTTAATAATGCACAGCTTATTCAGTATACTATCACTAACTCTATAAAGTTTTTAAAAGTCAAGGGAGAGTGTGCAGCATAATTACAGACACTGCCTCAACGCAAAACCAGAATTGAAGTTTCAGGTTATGTTTTACTTATATCATGCCCTACATATAATAACACTGAATTAGCTCAAAATGAAAGGTACTGTGCATACTTGGAACTACTCATTTGTCCTAATGTGTGACCTGGTGACATACGACTTGACTTCACATAAAAAGCATCAAAACTCTGACTCTGGGTCCTTTTCTCAACAATGGCCACGGTGTAATCTCTGTGTCCCGGGATAATGCCCACACAAGTAATGACACTCTCACCCGTCAACTCCCTCGGGTTTCAGCTAGACAGAACTTTTCCTCCCACGTCTCTTTTCACCTGGCTGAAAAACACTTTAACTCCTAAGCGTTCTTCACCTGACTCACTTCCTAGTTTAAACATTCACTCCGTTTCTAACCGTGTAAATCATGGGTGGGAAGCAGCTAAGATAAAACTGCGAATTCTGAACACCCGCCAATACAGAAAGAAACCAAACAGGACGGAGGGTAGGGGGAGGGCGGGACCCGCCAGTCCCGCTCTGGAGAGCTAGGGTAGGAGGGGGCGGGCGCTGAAGACCCGGCCTCCGGTGACGCCAACTCTCTCGCTCCCTCCTCTCACCTCGATCTCGCGGATGTTGTTGGAGGTGACGAAGATGCCGATGCCAATGGGGATGAAGATGAGGCCGATGATGAAGAAGGTAGGTAGCACCGTGCCCGCAGTAAGGAAGGGCTGCCAAGCCGGCAGCCTTTGCTGTTTGAAGGCCGTGTTATCCGGCCTCCGAGTTTTCGTGGTGCCCCCAGGAGCAGACGGGGGTCCACCGTCCACTTCATCCTTCGCGTTATAGTTCATTGCCATCGACCCCCGGGGTGCGGCTCCGCGACGTGCAGGTGGACTACCCAGGGGACCCGGCTGCTGACCCTGACAGGAGACGCACAGGCGCCGCTGCCGCCGCCGGCACTGACACCAGAGAAGCGGAAGAGGCGGGACACTCTTTCGCAGACGACTGCCGACCGGAAGCGGGAGTCGGCTGGAGACGCCGGAGGAGGGGAGAGAGGAAGAAGGGAGAAGGCTGAGGGACAAGGGGAGGGGAAAGGGGTGGAGGATAGAAGAGGGAGGAAAACGCCGGACGCACTCTGATCACCTGATCAGCTGCCCTGTAACGACAAATTGTGAGCCTCTGGCCCTGGAGCGTGTGGTTACGTTGGCGCATGCGCAGCGCTGGGGTCACTGGGATCTCTGCGCTTGCGCCATAGACGCGTCTTCGCCCTTGGGGCTGCTGGCTCTGCCTGTTCCTATGGTCAACATAGCGACATCTAGCCTAGGTGGCAGGCTCTACCATGTAGCTGAGCCATCCTTGTCAGCGACTGAGAGGTCTCTGGTGGCTTCTGCTCTAGACAGCTTTTTAAAAGACCACACTCGAGGGATGCTGAGCCATGTGTAATTGGCAGTATTTGCTTGGGATGCAGGTATCAATTTAAACTAAGGTGTGTGAAATTTAACCCTTTATTCTAAAGTCAAGAATTGATACTGTGATTCGGTTAACCCTATGATTTTGCTTCACATTTTTCTCCTCACATTTTTCCTTCATTGATGGTCTTCGCTTGGCCCCTTCTCTGTCTGCCATTCCCTTGCACATTAGTGTAGGAAGTCTTTTGAAATAAGTTATGGCTTTTTTATTGTTGATTATAAAAAGCGGAACATACATCATTATATAAAATGAAATACTACATACTTAAAAACTGCCAAGGAAATATGATATCAAAAGGGACTAAATCAGAAGACCAAAAGTAGTATACAGACTAAAACTATACAGCTCAACAAAAAACTATATAATGGTAACCCCCAATGGATGGATGACTTTTTTTTCTGTTTATTTGCGTTTTTCTGTATTTTCCAAAATTTATTCAGTAAGCATTTATTATTTGTAAAATTTAAAAAATTATTACGTGGGCTGGGGATGTGGCTCAAGCAGTAGCGCATGTGTGGGGCTCGGGTTGGATCCTCAGCACCACAAAGATGTTGTGTCTGCCGAAAGCTAAAAAATAAATATTAAAATTCTCTCTCTCTCTTCTCTCTCTCTTTAAAAAAAAAATATTATTACGTGCAGCCCACATTATTACTGTCTTTGGAATCTAAACCAGTCAATAAATCACACCATATCAAAATGAATACCCAAACTTTATTTTTTCAAGGCTTTGTCTACAGTTAGACTGTTGGAAGGTAAACCTAGAAAAAGAAACTAAGAAGTATTTGATATTCATAATTTATAATTAAATGCTTTTCTCAAAATGTCCACGAGTCTCAAGCATGTGATCCAATCAAAAAAATTTTGTGAGTTTAGAGGAAAATGAATAATGAGTACCTTCTAATGACACTAGCTTGGTTTGGCTCTTACATAACGTTTGTTATCTCTCAAATTCTTAGCACCACTAAAATTCGAATTTAGGCTCAAATGGAAAACAGTCTGTCACAGTTAATGAAGAAGGCGTAAACTTTTAATTTTCTAAGTTCTGTTGGTTAGTAAAAGTGTAGGTTGCAATGTTAGACATAATTAAAAAGTATAAGTTTTTTTTCTCCCCATTTTTGCTTATATCATCCACTCACTAAATGTGACAGTTCCTTTTTTGTGTGTGTGGTGCTGGGGATTGAATCTAGGGCCTTGTGTATGCAAGGTAAGCACTCTACTAACTGGGCTATAAACCCAGCCCATGATAGTTCCTTAACTGCTTACTAATCTGTATAAATGGTGAGTTACAGTCCATCTTTCTTACTCATGACTTCTGCATCCACAATTCAATCAACCGTGGAGCAAAAATGCTCAGAAAAAAAAAAAATTCATCTGTGTTAAACAGCAGACTTTTTCTCCATCATTATTCCCTAAACAGTACCATAAAATAACTATGTACATAGCATTTAGAATTTACATGAATTAGGTATAATAGGTTATATTAGGTATAATTCAATGTAGTATATGGGAGAATATGCACAGGTTATATTGTAAATATTATACCATTTTATGATGTACTTGAGCATTCAAGGATTTGATTATCCACAGGGGTGCTGGAACCTATTCCCTTCAAATAATGAAGGGCAAACTATATTTTGCCTTCAGGTCTTTTGTTGTTTTTTGGTGACTTAAGTGATTTTTTTTAGTCAGCTTTTCATCTCTGTGATCAAAAGACCTGACAAGAACAAAATAGAAGAGGAAAAGTTTATTTTGGCTCATGGTTTCAAAGGTTTCATCCATGGTGAGTGAACTCCATAGCTCTGGGCCTAAGGTGAGGCAGAGCATTCTAGAACAAGGGCATGGCAGAGGAAAGCAGCTCAGGACATGACAAATGGAAGCAGAGAGCTCCACTCATCAAAAACAAAATATAAACCCAAAAGTCATGCCTCTGGTGACCTACCTCCTCCAGCCACATTTCACCTGCCTAGTGTCCTCCCAGTTAGTCCATATCAATGGATTACTCCATTGACTAGATTACAACTCTCACAATCCAGCCATCTTACCCCTGAACCATTCCTTGCACATGAACATTTGGGGAACACCTCATATCTCAACCATAATAAGTGATCATGTATTTATGTGTTTCCTTTTTCTTTAATATTTTGTTCATAGGAAAGATTAACTCTTTTTTTTTAACTAGAAATTCCATTTTGAATGAAATAAATTTGTAGAACTGAAATCTTAGATTATTATCTTAAACTTTCATTTTCAAATGAGGTACAAGTGGATGAAATTACTTTCCCACATCTCTTGATATTCCTCTATTTTCTTTCCACTATTTTGCTATCACAAAATGCTTCTTTAGCCAGCTAAAAATTTTTTCACCTCCACATAATCGTCTCAGGAACTCAGGATTTTTATTATTTTCTTGCTCACATGTTGTTTAGTGATAGTCCTTACTAGGTAGTTTTTTCCTTATTTGCTGAAATAGGAGTTGTTGTTTGTTTGTTTTAGGTTGTTCAGCATTTCAGGGGCAACAAAAAAGAATAATTGGTCTCACAATGGATTATCAGTATATATATTTTTAAACTAGTGATTAGAAGTGACCCTTGTGTGTATGTATATGTTGGAACATTTAGATAACATTTGTATTATTTAAATGATGGTTTACTCGCTTTTTCTTTTAAAAGTGGAGCTTGTGTGGATAAATTGTACTTATTAATGCTATCAGGTCAACATAACAAGTGTGCAATGAATACATGAGCTCAAATATAAAAATAAATCTGAAATGATAGAATAGTTACAAACCCAACTATCCAAAAAATATAGGTTTTTAGGTTTTTGAGGGGAAGATTTATACAGTTTTCATCTTTCAGTTTAATTGCTGTGTTATATCACTGAACCAGAAACATCAAAGAAAAGACAGAAGAAAAACTTGGGTAACTTGAGGAAGGAGAAACTAAAACTAGTCTTTTTATTGTTTGGCCAAACTGCCACACAGATTTGCATGTTCATCTTCTTTGAATATTTGGTGCTACTGTAGCTCTCTAGCTTCTAACCATATATTCAAACTATTTCATTCACATCTGTAACTTGAAGTTGTTTAGGAAAGTTGAATTAAGAAATGTGTCATAATTTTTACAGCATGAGTTTCAGAGAAAGGGACTGAAAATAGTTGGAATTGTGTTCACTACTTTTTTCACTCTACCCTTCCACCTCAATTCAATCAACCATAGCAGCTTAGAAAACTTTTATGAGACTAAATAGTATTTTTTATCATCTCAGAGAACTTTCAGGAGAGTGATGTAGCATTTGTATAATAAATTTCCTGTATTTATTGCATCAGAGGTTAATCCAAATTGATTTTGCAAAATTACCTTTAAAATTAACCTTTTCCTGATTTTCATGTAGTGTAGTATTGCACTCTTTCACTTAGACATTTAGAAATCTTTTATTTTCACACTGACAGATTATCTCATTGATAGTGTAAGTAAAGATTTTGCAAGTTCTTAAATGACCAGTCAGTAATCCAAAATAGTAGTCAAACAAGATATTTTCATGCTTAGTACCATCAGAGGAAAAAGCAGTGACACCAAAATTTTTAGTGGACAGCCTAGGATCTTTGTGTTAAAAGGGAAATAAGGTTTTATTTCTCATGATTCCATATTTCTTTAAATGAAAGAATGTAATTCTAATGAGACCTCAGACTTCATGGCTTCCACTACATAGAATCTCTCAGTTGATTACATCCCCATGGCACATATTCAGTAGATGCCATCAATTATAAATAAGATCTTATCTTCAAATATGTTGCCTTCTCTGGATTGACAGCCAGCTAACATCTGTTACATATATAACAGAGGAAATAATTATTTAAAAAGGAAGGGTAGAGGAAGGAAGAGGCTCAGCTTACATGTAAGAATTCATCAAGAAATATAAGAAAGTAGATCTTTCAAAAACCATTCTGTGTTTATTATATTTGGGCCTTTTTTTAGCTTTATTTTAAACTTACATTTTTCTGTTTTTCCAAATGTTAATGGTTTGGAAGTCCCAAGAGGGGTAGATGCATTTCATCATGGTTTCTTCAAAGACCTGAGACACTACTGCCTATGAAGGTATTCATTGTTTTAAAATAACTCCAACATATTCTTGAAGGATAGCCTTTTAAAAAATGATATTAAATGTAAAAGTTAACTTTATTGAATCTCAGATGTGAACAACTTTTTTATTCACTGGCACTAAAGACCAAGGGCTTCCCTCTGACCAGTACTCCATGAGACACAAAAAGAAGGGTCCAACAGACTGTTCCACATCATTTTTATTGTCATTGATTCCTCTGGGCAGAGTAATGTATACTCACTATTATCACATTCTTAACTCACTCAGCAAACCGCCACTCTCTGACCTGAGATCCAACTCCACTGAAACTGTCTTGTTAGTAAATTCCCACTCATCTTCCAAGATTCAGGTTTGTAGACCATTTAAGGAATAGTTCTTTGACCCTTGGAATGGAGCTAAGCTGTCCTCTGAGTTCAAGGCAACTTATTCATATCTCCATCCTTGCAGAAATAACTGTTTACATCAGTCTTGTTTACTAGATATAAGTTCCTCAAGGTCAGAGATTGTTTTTATTCATTTCTGAAGTTCTAACATTTGGCAAAGTGCCTAGGACAAACATGGTGCTTAATAAATCTTGTTGAATGACGTGACCTCCTTACATTTTAGTGGGAAAAAAAATCACTTTCCAGCAAACAATTGAAATACAGTGAGGTCAGTGCTCTATAAGATGAGTGTACAAGGGGTTATATGAGCTCCAAAGAAGTGAGGAAAAGGGTTCTAAAGTCAGAGTGATACTGTGGTTCTCCACTGAGTAAACAATAGATTTTAAAATAAAGGAACATAGAGAAAGTTGAGCTTTATATTATATATATTTTGTCCACAATACATATTATTAATACTGTGCAAGACCATGTTACTGTGGGTGATCATATTCTTAAGATTTTAGCAGCTTATTGTTGTCATTAAAACTGACATCAC